GCAGTTTCCTCAGACAGCTCAAGTGGAAATGGTTCAATTTCTTGGCATGGCGCTGGTAGACTCTCCAGGCTTCGCACCTATATCGAAGAGTTGGTAAGACAACAGCCTGGTAGACCTTCAGTTTTGTCTCCTGCTTGATGCCAGTCCTTTCCCAAACCGAGTCACGTAGACGTCCAAAGGCTGCACTGGCCTTGACAATCCTGATGTTAACTTCATCATCTATGTGCACAGCGTGAGACAGAGTACTACCAAGGTAAGTAAACTTGTCAAGGGCTGAAAGCTTTTGCCCATTCACAAAGATGGTGGGCTCAGTGTAGGGTTTCCCAGGAGCAGGTTGGTACAGGACTTCAGTTTTCTTTGTGCTGATTGTTAGGCCGAAGTTGTTACAAGCTGATGAGAAGTGGTCCATACTGTCCTGTAGATCTTTATTTGAGCCAGCAGCCAGAGCACAGTCATCAGCAAACAAAAGTTCTCGAACAGTGACTTCCTCCACTCTAGTTTTGGCTTGCATCCTCTGCAGGTTGAATAGCCCACCGTCAAAACGGTAGATGAAGCTAATCCCAGTGTCGTGGTTCTGGAATGAGTCTTGTAGCATGGCAGACAACACGATGCTGAAGAGCGTTGGTGCTAAAACGCAGCTTTGCTTCACCCCGTTTGTGATTGGGAACAGATAAGAGAGTTCTTGCTGGTCTCTGACGCTGGCCATTATGCCATCATGGAGTTTGCGCACAATGCCAATGAACTTGTCTGGACACTCATACTTGGCCATGATCTTCCATAGGCCCACGCGGCTGACTGTGTCTAATACTTTTGTTAGATCAACGAAAGCCATATATAGATCAACATTTTGTTCTTGGCATTTCTCCTGTAACTGCCGGGCAGTAAATACCATGTCAGTGGTTCTGCGGTCTTTTCTGAAACCACACTGACTTTCAGGTAGCAGACCCTGGTCTAGGTGGATAATTAGGCAGTTCAGAAGGAATCTTGCCAAGATTTTGCCAGCGATTGATATATAGAGATGTCTCTATAGTTGTCACAGGCCTGCCGATTGCCTTTCCTCTTATAGAGTTGGATTATAGAGGCATCCTTGAACTCCTGGGGAACGGCTTCTAATTTCCACAGAGACTGGAAGAGGTCGGTCAGTTTCTCGACTAATCGAGGCCCTCCAGCCTTGTAGATTTCCGCTGGAATGGCATCGGACCTTGGAGCTTTACCTGATGAGAGGAGGCTTATGGCTTTGCTGGTTTCCTCAATGGATGGTAGAACAGCAAGGGACTGGTTTATTTAAACTTGAGGCAGTCTCACAATTGCCTCCTCCTTTATGCATGATGGCTGGTTGAGGACTGCGCTGAAGTGTTCAGCCCACCTTGCAAGTATTTTGTCCCTCTCTGTGAGGAGTGTTGTTCCATCTGCATTCAGGAGAGGTGAAGTTCCTGAGTGTTGTGGACCATAGACCTGCTTGAGTGCATCATAGAGGCACTTGGTGTTGTTACTCAGCGTAGGACTGAATCTCCTCAGCTTTTGAGCACAGCCAGGTGTCTTGCATGACCCTGAGTCTCCGCCGGACAATCCTGCGAATGTTGAGGAAGGCAGTTTTCTTTAAGCTTGAGCTGCTGTCATTCAGATATGCTTCATGCAGGTGATGTTTTTCGTCAAGGAGTGCTCGGATTTCTGCATCATTCTCATCAAACCAATCTTGATGTGTACGTATGGGAACATCAAGTGATTCAAGGGCTGTAGAATGCAACATGGTCTTGAGAGCAGTCCAGTCTGCCTCAGCGTCTGTATGCTCGAAGCTTAGAGACTCCAGGTGATGGTCTAGAGCCTCAACAAAGGCCAGTCTGGTGTGCTTCTGTTGTAGGCGAGTGATGTTAAGACGCTTGACGTCTTTTTCCTTGTGGGCGTCTGGGAGGCTTAATCCGGATGTGAAGTTTGAAGATCATGAGACGACGGTCAGTCTAACATTCAGCACCACACATTGCCTTGGTCACCCTGACATCGTGCCGGTCGCTCTTCCTCATGATGACGTAGTCAGTCAAGTGCCAATGGTGTGAACGAGGATGCATCCATGAAGTTTTCTTGCGCTTTGGTAGTTGGAATATCGTGTTGGTGATGAGAACGTCAAATTCAGAGCATGTTTTCAGCAGCAGAAGACCGTTGCTGTTACATTTTCCAATGTCATGTGCACCTATGACTCCATTCCATGATTGATGGTCACTTCCAACTCTGGCATTGAAGTCACCAAGTATCAGGAGTTTGTCAGAGCTGGCTGTGGCAGCAATAATGACTTCCAGGTCATTATAAAACTTGGTTTTGATCTTGTCAGAGTTGGTCATGGTAGGGGCATAGGCACTGATGGTGGCCTCCTTTTTACCCAATAGATGGTTCTTTAAAGTCATTAAATGGTCGTTTATACCCTTGGGTTGGCTTGCCAGTTGGTTGACCAGGTGTTTTTTTACTGAAAAACCAACGCCAGCATCACGTCTCTCCTCCTGGCCTCGTCTGCTCCAGAAGAATGTGTAACCTGCACCCACTTCAGTCACCTGTCCAGTATTGGCCAGTCGGGTCTCACTAAGGGCAGCAACATCCACATTATATCTGGCTAGCTCTCTGCCCACGAGGGCAGTGCGTCTCTCAGGTCTTTTTGATCCAGATGTGTCCAACAAAGTGTGCACATTCCAGGCGCCAACAGTGAGTGGTATAACTTGTCTTTTTCATTTTATTTGTTTTTCGACCGCAAGTATGGGATGTTTTGAAGCAGGCAATGTTTAGGGTACCTTTTCTAACCCTTTCCTCACTATGGAGGTGAGCAGTGTGATCCTGAATAGGGTTGCTCAGTCACTCAGGGTGCTGCCGGACTTCACTGCTGCTTCGGTCCAGTGAGGGAACGACCAATAGCTTGAGCCGCCTGCGTGCAGGTTTGTGGCTACAGCTTCCAGCATATCCGTGCCTGCTGCTTCGTCGCTCACCCATCACCACAGGACTTGGATAATGACGATGGTAAATAGTGGCATGACTTGAGCAGAGAACTTGGATTTAAGTGAGGGTGATTTGCGCAGCGTCAACCTCACTCTCTCGACCAGCCCCATCTGTACCCAGTGGCAAGACGTAGTCAAGACGACTGGAGATGGTCCTGGTTGCAGTGGAAGGTCCAAAGACCCTTTTGGTCGAATTTCCTCCACCAGGGGTTCCACATGCCGAGGCTCAGACAAGCTGAGTTTTCCGGGTTAGTTAACCGCCGTCCGGGGTTCGGCGTTGGCAGCTGCTGACTGTACCGACTCACCAGGGATGTTGAGCCTGGTCTACGCCTACGGTAGCAGCTAGAGGGCCGGCCCAGATGGAACAAGCCTGAGGCACAACAAGCTGGTCAGACACCAGTGTATGTGTATGTTACACTAACGTGCATATTACATTACAGTACATGGATTTACAGCCGCTACTGCTGTGGCATTGCATTTAGCTGATAACCTTAACCAAATCTTCATCTGCATATTTCACCAAAACTGTAGATGTGTGTACTTAACATTTTGAAACTGCTCAAATACCAAAGCTGCTGCAACCAACGGCTCATTTTGTAAGCGATTTAACGGTTAATCGACAGTTCACTAACACATGCACGCTTGTTGTGGTACGATATTGGCAGAGTTGTTAGGGACGAGAACACAGAATTTGGCCTCCGGGCAATAAAAAAACCGGGATAATGGAGGAAGGGATGGTGGGAGGGAGACATCTAGAAAATGGAAATTGGAAGATTAAGGCCAAATTTTGAAAGCTACGGCCAATGCCAAGCACGACAATTTGTGCGTTGGTGAGAGGGAACACAGGATGGAATTAGCAATGGAATTAGCGACCGCAATGTGCATGACGTTTCAGCGGACGTTGAGAAAGCTCCATTCCCTTGGCTGGAGCCGAGCCAAAGGACGGCTTTCGCTGGCTTTCGCTTGCGGATGGCTCGCAGCAGCAGCTGCGAAGCAGCAGCTGCGAAGAAGCGCATTCCCCCTTTGCGTTGCACCTTCGACCGTAAACTCTGCCACCGCCAAACATATGGCACGGGCATGTTCAAAGACGGCAAATCGATTCACGAGTGCAGCTCTTAAAAAAATTAAAATACACTTTCAACGAAACACGTAAAACTTTTGGAAACACACGAATGGCCGCGCACACGAAAGAAATGTAGGGGCACGTGGAGGGAACGGTTCATAGGAGCATCACCGAAGGCGGTGGTGTTTTTTTTTTTTACGAGGAGGCATTTTAGCGGAAGGCTGGCGGAGGACGATGGTTCTAGTGAGCCACGAGGCTCGCAATGAACGCAAGTGCAGGTTGCGTGACCACGACGTTGCCAGCTGAAACTGTAACCTCCGTGTGGTGGATTCATTCAGGCGCTTGGCTAACGATGGGGAACCACGGCATGGTGCGGCCATAATTGGCAGGTCCCAGGACATGGGAATGAGCTGTAATGACATCGTACATTACCCACCAGGCAGTACAAGAACAAATACAGCGATACCCCTCTGGTTCACGTCGGAGGAGGATGCGTTCCTGAAAGGCGCGGCGACGAATATCTAAAACGGCATAAATCAAAGTGATTTACAGGGGTAGTAGTCGTAGTGGGTGGTGGTGGTGGCGAAGGCTGAGAGGTGATGGATAATGAGAAAGGACGGGACAGACGATGCCATCAGCAACGTTAAGTGTTTGGGGGTTGAGGCAACATTAATCGGGTAGCGGTGATGATAAAGTTATTATTCAGTATTACATTTATACGTATTTTGTATGTATCCAGGCCTAAAATAATGAAATTATCCTCAATTTTTCTTCAGTAAGGCACCCCCCCCATAACATGGACAATGTCTATAAGGAATGCGCTTCGTACAGTGCGATTCGTCTTACGTGTCGTCTTTCAGCAACGCGTGTCACCTGTCGTGCGAGGCGCGTCTCTTACTCTGCTTGCTTAATCAGCAAAACCAATTTGCTAAACCAAATAAGAAGGCGACAGACGTAAATCGGGGTATTACCAAATCTTTACGCTTTTAATCTTTACATTTTCAGACACGTTTTAAATGGGTATGTAGGTGTTTAAAAATGGCTCGACCAAAAAACGAAATGTTTCTACATCATGTCTCTCTCGATTGAAAACTAATAAATATAACTCGTGAAAAATGTAAGTACAAAAAGAGAAAAATATGATTCTGAAAAAATAACAAAGGCATGAAAATAGCAAAAAAAATATTACGAAATAAATAAACAATTGTAATCAATAAAAAATCAAAGACCTAAAAATTACAAGGATTCCATTCCTGAAATGTAATGTATGTGCTTTGTCCTTCATTTCTTTCTATGCTGGCTGCGAACGATTAATGTTGGCCTTGCCATCACACCCTTTATCACCAAGTCAACCTACTCTACAGATATACAAATACTTTATCTGTAATAACGTCTTGTCATTTACAATATAAAAAAGTAATACTGGAACAATTCAGTTCCGAACAGAGCAAAGTTTCTCTCTTAACCCTTTCCTGTTCCGAGATGCACTGCAAACTTGCAGGGTGGGTGGGGTTCCGTTCACCATTGAATGTCGGAACGCGCGAGTGATTCAGCGTTAATTTTATTTAGAGAGTTGTAGTAACACTGTTGATTTGTAAAGACGTTGTTACTCACTGCAGAGAACCATAGCGATACGACTGCCGCACTCTACGATAGTTGGGGCCAAACTGTGCCACGCACCCCTCCCACCGTGGCCTTGTGGGAACCTCGCTGCCGATAAAGTTACTATATTTTAGTTTTTCTCTCGGTCCCGTTCTGAAAATGTACACTTACGTATGCGTACATCGTTGGAACGGAATCACAAGAAAAACTGATGATGGTACACATTCGTCACGTACGTCATCGGGATGGGATATGGTTTATGCTGATATGTAGAAGTAAATGACTGATGCAATTCTACTGGGGTCTGACAAGCCATCTCCTGCATGGCTGGTGACCTGCGAGCGCCGAGTATTTTTGCCATGCTCCTCCCCGTGTCTCTGCAGCAGCTGACTCGCGTGAAGGGAAAACACGCGTCTAACCGTGGCGTGTGCCGACGTGACGTGAGTTTAAACGGTGGCTCGCATGTATGTATGTTGTATGTACGTTGTATGTTCAAGTTATTTTGCACCGTACGTAGCCAACCGGAGGTGCGGGGGAAAGGACAACATACTAAACACAAAAATCTAGTTCTAAAAGAAATTAATTTGTCAATCTAGATGATTTAAAAGTGCATAGCTCCAGTGGCTTCCTCATGTCGGAAGGAAGAGGCGTTCAAGACGGCCGCAGAAGCACATCCAGATAGCGCTCACGCACCTGAAAGTAGGGAGGGCACCATGACCACTCCAACAAGGGTGTGTGCCGAAACGGAGTGGAATCGTCAAATTGGGTAACAGCCCACGGGACGGGAGCGTCAGGCGCGTCCAAGTCACAGGGACCGTCAGGCGTGTCCCAGGCACATGGACTGCACGCAAAGCCTTGCCCTAGCTCGGCCCTGCAGCAGTCCACGACGAGTCTAAGCGAATCCGAGGGGACTACTCGCAATCCTCCGGCTCGCAATCCGGCCCTGGCAATCATTCACTTGGCAGGGAGGACTGAGGCTTGGGTCCTGGTGATGGCTACCGGACGATGCCGTTGGAGGGCCGGTCAGGCGGAGCGTGCGACTCCACGGAGTCCGGGTCCCTCTTGGCTGGGTCGAGCAGCGAGGAAGCGAGCGAGGAGAGGGCGTTGGCAAACGCGTCCACCACCTGCGGCAATGGTGGCGACAGGGGTTTAGCGGAACAGTTCGTTCTCCTGTAGTGGCGTAAGTTTTCATATCGCGGATTGGATATATAACGCGATGGAATGTATTAGGGAACACGTTTTTTGCGTAATTCATATGTGAATTGGATATACAACTCGATCGAATGAATAAAACTATGTCACGTGAGTAGGAATAAGCGGTCGTGTACTGCCTCGGCTTAGCATCGCACAAGGCGTTAGGATGCTGCTGGAAGCTTCTAGATGCTACAGTGAGGGAAAAAAAGTATTTGATCCCCTCCTGATTGTGTACGTTTGCCCACTGACAAAGAAATGATCAGTGTATAATTTTAATGGTAGGTTTATTTGAACAGTGAGAGACAGAATAACAACAAAACTCCAGAAAAACGCATGTCAAAAGTGTTATGAATTGATTTAGCATTTTAATGAGGGAAATAAGTATTTGACCCCCTCTCAATCAGAAAGATTTCTGGCTCCCAGGTGTCTTTTATACAGGTAACGAGCTGAGATTAGGAGCACACTCTTAATGGGAGTGCTCCTAATCTCAGCTTGTTACCTGTATAAAAGAACCTGTCCACAGAAGCAATCAATCAGATTCCAAAACTCTCCACCATGGCCAAGACCAAAGAGCTCTCCAAGGATGTCAGGGACAAGATTGTAGACCTACACAAAGCTGGAATGGGCTACAAGACCATTGCCAAGCAGCTTGGTGAGAAGGTGACAACAGTTGGTGTGATTATTCGTAAATGGCAGAAACACAAAAGAACTGTCAATCTCCCTCGGCCTGGGGCTCCATGCAAGATCTCACCTCGTGGAGTTGCAATGATCATGAGAACGGTGAGGAATCAGCCCAGAACTACACGGGAGGATCTAGTCAATGATCTCAAGGCAGCTGGGACCATAGTCACCAAGAAAACAATTGGTAACACACTACGCCGTGAAAGACTGATATCCTGCAGCGCCCGCAAGGTCCCCCTGCTCAAGAAAGCACATATACATGTCCGTCTGAAGTTTGCCAATGAACACCTGAATGATTCAGAGGACAACTGCGTGAAAGTGTTGTGGTCAGATGAGACCAAAATGGAGCTCTTTGGCATCAACTCAACTCGCCGTGTTTGGAGGAGGAGGAATGATGCCTATGACCCCAAGAACATCATCCCCACTGTCAAACATGGAGGTGGAAACATTATGCTTTGGGGGTGTTTTTCTGCTAAGGGGACAAGACAACTTCACCGCATCAAAGGGACGATGGACAGGGCCATGTACCATCAAATATTGGGTGAGAACCTCCTTCCCTCAGCCAGGGCATTGAAAATGGGTCGTGCATGGGTATTCCAGCATGACAATGACCCAAAACACACGGCCAAGGCAACAAAGGAGTGGCTCAAGAACAAGCACATTAAGGTCCTGAAGTGGCCTAGCCAGTCTCCAGACCTTAATCCCATAGAAAATCTGTAGAAGGAGCTGAAGGTTCGAGTTGCCAAACGTCAGCCTCGAAACCTTAATGACTTGGAGAAGATCTGCAAAGAGGAGTGGGACAAAATCCCTCCTGAGATGTATGCAAACCTGGTGGCCAACTACAAGAAACGTCTGACCTCTGTGATTGACAACAAGGGTTTTGCCACCAAGTACTAAGTCATGTTTTGCAGAGGGGTCAAATACTTATTTCTCTCATTAAAATGGAAATCAATTTTTGACATGCGTTTTTCTGGATTTTTGTTATTATTCTGTCTCTCACTGTTCAAATAAACCTACCATTAAAATTATACACTGATCATTTCTTTGTCAGTGGGCAAACGTACAAAATCAGCAGGGGCTCAAATACTTTTTTCCCTCACTGTACCTACGCGCCTCAGTCTTTGTTCAGCCTGCGTTATGCACCTCGTGTGTTATCGCGGACTGCGCTTTAGCCTCTATATTAAATATAATTTATTGTAACGTGATTTTTACAGAACGTGGTGTTCTAGAGGAACGCAACTAAACTGCGTTATAGGAGAACGGACTGTACGTATGTACAAGAGGAGGAGCGGCTCCCACGCACACCCAAAACATCGCCGGGCAACCGTCGGTCACTTTCGACGAGTCACACTACCCCACGATTGCACAAAAAGTCACATCGGGTGTGCCCTCCCCCCCTTCCTTCACCTGCTGAGCCACGCGCGTGCGACGGCGCTGGCTCCGTTGGCGCTCGCGCTCGTTCCGCCGCGCCTCCCTCCGCAGGAAGCGCATCGTCTCCTGGTGACAAAGCAGGATCATGCGGCCATCGGCGGAGAGATCCTCCCAGCGCACCTGCGGGAACTGACCTGCGGGGGACGAGCGGCGGGATGAGTTAACCTCCTCGCTTCGGGACACGGGGCCGTCAAGCGTAACGAGGCTTTGCAACAGAGTTGTCCCCTTCCCCCCGCACTTCCGATTAGCACGGTTGACTACGTATGGTCGTTTAACACGTAGTAGGCTTTCGCGACCAATATTATCCATTAGAGGTTTTTTTTGGGTGAGATGGGGTAAATATAAATGAGTTGTTAAACATGCCACCACGCAGCCCAATTAGTAAGGTTTGGTTACGTAAAAAAAACGCACCAATTAGTTATTAGTTCAGCACACCGGTGTGTTGGAGAGTAAACAACCCTCAACATTTACAATTCGAGTATTTATAACCAGCCTCATCAGTGGACAGTCAGAATTGTGACTTTGAGGAAGAAGACGAGGAGCTATTATGGCTTGAAAAAAGTTCAACACACATTCATACATACAGACTACAAACGAAAAAACTAAAACTAAGAGTAAAACTTATTATAAACTAACATTTTTTTCCAGGTAAAGCCCACTGAGCTATGTAGCTTTTTTTCAGAAGTGACGGGATCACACGTGATAGCTTAACTAGTGGCTTATCATCACGTGGAAATTTATAGCAACCAAATACTATAAAAGCCTGATGTTGATTCTAAATGCGGCCGGATAAACCGGAGGACCCGGGAAAAAAATCTAAGCAAACAGAGAGAGAGAGGGAAGCAAACTCCAAATATACAGCAGACGTCAGGGTCGAGATCGAACCCACGACCTCCTGCACAGCGGGCGAGGCAATTAACATCTCTTAGCTACCACCGACAACCCCGATGAGTGTACGCCGCTCTCACGGGTTGGGTGAGCGGCTCAGGGATTAGTGTGCCGCATGGTATCCCGCGCAGGAATTTTAAACCGTGTGGGGATTTTCCTCCAGGACAAAGGGCGCCGTGAGGAACCAGCGTTGTAAGGAGCGCGGCGCTACAAGAGGTTGCGACGGAAGAGGCGGGAATGGCGCTCACCCCGTGGTGGGTGGGGGAGCCGGTCTCGGAACCGATGAGCACCGCCTCCCTCTGTCGACTTGCGCGAGTGGTGCAGCAGCAACGAGGAGGAGGGAGAGGAGGAGGGCGATGGTGGCCGCGCATCCCAGCTGCCGCCACCTCCGCCGCCACCACCGCCGTCGTTCGCAGGGGCCACGTCGGCCCACTCCGGATCCACCGTGTTCACCGCGGGCTGACCATCATCCTCCAGCTCTGAGTAGCCCTCCTCCTCTTCCTCCTCCTCTTCCTCCTCCTCCTCCTCTTCCTCCTCCTCCTCAAAGTCATCTACCTGTGTGGTAAGGATAGCCTCCACATCAGCCATCTCGTCTCTTCCTAATAGCTAAGGGCCCTGCCCCAGAACGCTTTCGTTAAGAGTTGCAATTATGTCATTTAACATGCAGTGTTGAGAAAACGTTTATGAATCCCAATGATAATTATGGAAATTCCATTGTTTTACCATGATAGCCTTCTTGAACCTAAACAGGTATTTTCTTAAATATCCAATGGAGTTTATATTAACAAATTCCATGTCTTATGAAATAAAATGATGGATGAATTCAACAAACAATGAGTAACTAAGGTTCAGGGTATGTGAAAAAGTAAGTGAACCCCTGGTTTCATTTGCTCAATTAAAATTATAATTAAAATAAGGTGTTTAAATAATTAGGTAGATCTTCAAGGGTGAGTTTGGGATGCACAACCCTATATAAAGATCAGGAACTTTGTGAGTTTGTTCTTCACCATACAGGTGTGTGTGGAAACAAGCCATGCCACGATCAAAATAAATCTCTGAGGACCTCAGAAAAAAAGAGTTATTGATGCTCATCAGTCCAGAAAGGGTTACAAAACTATTTATAAGGATTTGGGGATGGAGAAAGTTCAAGATCACAGTCACTCTAGCCTGGAGCAGTCGTCGTTCCAAAATCTCTCCAAGAACAAATCGTAAAATCATCAAGGAAATCACAAAGAATCCCAGAGAAACATCCAATGATCTGCAGGCCACTCTCACCTTGGCTAATGTGAATGTCCATGACTCAACTATCAGAAAAAGACTGAAGAATTGTGTTCATGGATGGATAGCCAAGAGAAAACCACTACTCTCCAAAAAAAACATTGCTGCCCATCCGAAGTTCGCCAAAGAGCACAAACTTTTTCTCGGCAATGTACGTCTTCTGTAATCCACATGCTCCTATTTCTCTAAGCATGCATCTCTCCATGCCTTGTTGCACACTTTTAAATTTTCGTCCCATTTTGTTTGTGAATGACCATGTTTATGGTCCCCATTTCCTAGCAGGGAGTACACAACAATTACAAACTTGCTTCTTTAGGCACATCAGAATGTTCCTTTTCATTATCACGTTTAGCTTTCCCGAAAAACACACAACTTCAACCTATCTCACGTCTGCCTCTTAATTTCATCATCACCACGATGATTCCGGTCTGCCTTAAGTATTTGTCCGAGGTGTTGTATATATAGGCCTTTTTCCAAAAGTTAATATTAAGAATAATTCTGCCAATTTTTTTAAAAAATAATTGATCGGGGCGAGCATGGGGCATGAAAGGGTGATGCACACCCCACTGCTCACACCTAGCTGCCTTACCGCATTAAAAGCAACTCGAGGTAGTAGGCCATAAAGAGCCATTAAATAATAAACTCCGGGGCAAGGGGAGGTTAACGACGATCTGAAAAATCTCCAGATTGTCAAAGGACCACATGTTATGACCTCCCCAGACGTTTTGGATAGCTCACAAACAAATATCCAGAATCACTGGCACGGACACAGAGCACAGGGCAAACGGACATTATAACTTATATATTTTGTTTTTATACGGAAAAAGTTTAAGTTTGGCTATAAGAATAAGTCGACATTATAGACTGCAGTATTCCTTATTTTATTTCTTGTTATATCTTTCTATCGACGTGACTTTACCAAGAGAACCAAAGTACATGAGCTCCTGCAATCACGAAAGCTTAAGTCCAAACTAAGCTATATCTCTGACCTCGAGAATAAAATGCACGGATCCCTGGATACAGACAGGGAGCAAAAGTTAATAAAACTCTCGAAATACCGGTGGTAACAAAGAGGGGCATTACGAATCTTGGTCAAACATAAACCAAATAATAATCACGAGATATTTGACCGGGGGTAACTCATAAGAGATACAAGAAAATAGGTCAAACACACAAGACCAGATAATATGTATTCCATGGAATCAGAGCCTCCCCGGCCGCCTTTGTCTTCCAACAATGTGACACAACACATGATAGTAATAAATAAGTATGAAGGGGGAGTGCCTCCCCTCAATTTAGCAGACACCACGAAGGGGGGAATGCAAACAAAAACATAAACATGGTGATCGAAAACAGCCAGTCAAAGGTCAAAAAGGGGGGGGGCAACCAGGCGGCTGCCACGGGAGGAGGACGGTGACAGAGGGCATCTGTTTTTTTTTTCTCTCTCGCAAGAGACGCGGAGAGAGGGGAGAGAATTTCACATTTAAGCACGGACACAGATCATGCAAGTAGAGTGCTACGACATCTCCAGGAGTACTGCGACAGGCAGACTCCGGGGCATGGCCTCGAGATCAACAATGGGTGTTGTGTCTCGCAGAGAAGAGGGGCGAGATGATGCTCGGTGCTGAGTTTGGCATGGACCGACAGAGTATCGCTGAAAGTTTTAATCTACATTCATCCTGATGTTTTGAGTCGCTTGCAAAGGCAAGGATTGCGATAAGTTGTATTGTACTAAGCTATCAGAGTGGTGTAAGAGGTGTACGAATACAATTTACAAGTTTTGAGAGTGAGTGACCCAGCCAGCGACGAGCAGTGCACAGCAAGAGCCCTCTTGGAGGAAGGGCGGAGCGCACGGAAGTTGAGCAAAGCAAAGGCGAAGCTCTGAAGGAAGGGTGGGAGAGGCATTACGGAATGCCAGCGTGAAGCTGGCAGCTGCCCGCCAAAGGAGAGAGACTGGAGCAGTGGAAAGAGCCTGAGCCAGTGCAGCCCTGAAGTAAGGGCGGGTGTCCGTGTGACGCTGACAGCTGCACGATCAAGGAGAGAGCACGGAGCAGGGGAAAGAGCCTGACCAGCCGCCCGTGAGGAAGAGGAGAGCGCCGGCGAGAGCGCCGTGGGTTCGACCCACACACACACCGACCAGCACCAGCTGGGAACCAAGACAAGAGTGAGGAACGGCGACCAGCAGACGAGCTGCGGGCGCTATCTGGCGACGGAATCATCGCGCACCGCTGAGCAAGAGAGAGCGAGTAAGCTGTGTGTATGACCCTTCCCCACACTCACACACTCACGACACATCGCCCGGCGTCTGCTTTACGCAAAGAATTGAACAAGTGGCAAAGAAGACACACACCCACACAACACGGACATCAGGACAAATAAGATTGTTCCAAAAAGTTATCTTTGTGTTTCAAGAAGGGTTGCTATTCCAAGGTGGTGCGTTAAATATCAGCTGATCATGAAAAGCATTGCTGCCCGTCGAGTTACATGAATATGATTGTTTAGAAGTATTTCACTCATTCGTTTTCGTTAATTGCATAATCTTGCCAATGAATTAATTGTAACTACTCCTGCTTCGGGACATGTTCCTTCATTACTGTTTGTATGAATATCGTCGCATTAATTTTAAGGACTTTTTCCTGTCGCCGTATATGCTCGCGTCACTCTGAGGAATTAATCGATTGTTCTGTTACCCAGTTGAACAACGTAATATTTGAGGGTGAAGTGTACGGATCAATGAGGATAACATCTCCAGGAGTACTGTGTTGACAATTCCAAGCATAAGAATTCGCATATTAGAGTGTTATGTTTTTGTTTAGAAATTAAAGTTGCTTAACGCAGAAGTGTCTGAGTGGTGCCTTCCTAACTTCATGCTTAATAATCTTAATTATAAGAACTGTAACCTGCGATGAGATTTGAATTTGGAGACCTGATATAAAACACTTAGACATAATCAGTAAATGTTAAAGCGAGAATAATTGTATAATCCCGATTGATAATACAACCCTAGACAACAAAGCCGATCTTAATTTAGCATACTTACATAACACTTGTATAACTTCATACAATTTATTGTATCATTCCGATTGATAATAGGACCCTAGACAACGGGGCAGAGCCTAATTATCATAACGGCATGCATGAGCATAATCGCATGCATTTGCATAACTTAATGCAATTACACCTTCCTAATTAGCATCATTTATGTGCATAATTACATAAATTAGCATTATTTCGGATAATTTTACAAGCCCCGACATATACAAGAGAGGTACACATTCTACTGTGATTTCAAATTTTGCCCATTCTGACAGATGCCTCTGATTGTTTATACAAATTAGTTGTACACGACCTTTGCTTTTGCTCTCATTTATCCTGAGGTAACATTTACAGCACTGCACGTTAAAATCATGATCTCAACATGACATCCAAGCTAGCCATTGTTTTGCTGCACGAATATTTATGGCTTTGTTTCTCCAATCCAATTGTCAAAAAATATCGTGTCCCATGCTGCTATGAATAAATCTGGCAGAAGCGTGTCACCTGGTCTGACTCCCCTGGTACTACGTATTTATAAAACGTTTGTTGCAGTCTCAATAAAACACGTTTTTCTAAGTTCACTTGGTTTGTTTTTACCTGATGACGATTGCTTGTGTTGCAATTGAAACGTCGTATTCTATTATTTTATTTATTTTCTTTCTACGTGACTTTACCGAAAGAACCAAAGAGCAATTCCTGCAGTCACGAAAGCTTCAAATCACGTTTTTACTGTTAAAATTAAGCCAATGGGCTTCTATTTCTCTGTCCAAAGTGATTTTGAGTCAGGGTTGAAGTGTTTTATTCATCCCCCAAGTGTGCTCCCCCATGCCACTGCCCATGTAGTGTGGCAGTTAGCCTACACTGCACTACAAACCTGCGACCCGAGTTCGATTCGCGCTTACGGCCACCACCAGTGACGAAATATCTGAACCGGTTTTCTGGCCCTCCCCCTAGGTCGACTTGGCCTCAAATGAGTATGCTGGTGCGGTGTGTAAACATTGCCACTCGGGAGACAAAGGCAGCCGGGCGTGTTGCTGGCCACCCACCTCCTCGTGTACTGTGCCGGCCTTCATAGGTGCTTGCTAACAACATTTGCCCCAACAGCTAATGAAAGGTTATATGGGGGAAATTTGTCTTTGACAATACAGCGCTAGTACAGTAAAACCTTGGATTGCGAGCATAATTCGTTCCGGAAACGTGCTTGTAATCCAAAGCACTCGTATATCAGTTGTGATCACGTGACGCTAAGCAGACAAAGCGTATACGTACTACTCGTATTGTAAGACCTCGCTCGTTTATCAAATTAAAACGTATTAAAAAATGTTGCTCGTCTTGCAAAACACTCGCAGACCAAGTTACTCGCAATCCAAGGTTTTACTGTATATTGTCTCACTCTGTGCAATTGTCTCGGCATGAAGTCTTCAGACGCACAGTGTTGTTGAAAACTGTGTGACTGGGCAGGACCGGACATGTTCACTAGATACAAGCCGATTGTTAACAAGCATGGTTCTATGAATTGGATTGCATGTTAGTAGAAATGTGTAATCCAGTGGTGCATTTACAAGTTCATCCCTATGAACTAAGGTGTGGATGTTGAGCCAGCCCTAACTCCAAGACATCCATTGCAGACACCGACACCATCTGTTTAATATGGCATCGCATTTCACAGACCTTACTCAATTGGGCCACTTTTTTGCGAGTGCAAGTTATGTTTTTTGGTTTTCAACGTGGTGTCCAGGTGATAACTCATTTATATAGAACTGCTTGTGGCATTTACTTTTTTGTCCTTCCCCCTGAACCTCCGATTAGCATGGTTGGCTATGTACGGTGCGAAATAAGTTCAATGTACATACATAGACTCACACACAGACCCATAGTTTGTTGTCCATCACCCCTAACCTCCGATGAGCACGGTTGGCTATGTACGGTGCGAAACAAGTTGAACATACACACATAGACGTGTACAGTCGTGGATTTTTTTACAATGTGCACAACGTACCTCAGAATCATCCTCGGACTCCTCCTCATCCGTCTCGATGTAGGACGACTCTTGGTGCTGGGCCGAGCGCGTCGAGCAGTCCAACTGTGACCCCGACGGGCCCGGAGCCACCCCGAAATCTCAAATTAAAAAAATCAGAAAAGATCAAAAGAATAACATGAGGTGGTTGCCTGACTCAACAAGCAATAACAATGCATGTTACAGTCCGTTATCCTATTAACGCAGTGGTAGTTGCGTTCCTGAAGAACACTATCAATGGGAAAACACAGTCCTGGTTTACGACGATCCGATTTACGACGATGGGGTTCCTAGGAATGCGTTGGGGAGAGCCCGTAGAGCGCCAATGCCTCGCACTCATTCTGTGCAATCGTCCAGTGGTGCGACTCGTTCAGAGTGACCGACGGTTGCCCGGTGATGTTTTGGGTGTGCGTGGGAGCGGCTCTTCTTATACGTACGTACAGTCCGTTCTCCTATAATGCGGTGGTAGTAAGTAGTTGCATTCCTGAATAATACCGCGTTATGGAAAAATCGCGTCATAATAAAGCACAGTCAGCGATAATACGCGAGGTGGGTAACGCAGGCTGACCAAAAACTGAGGCGTGTGGGTAGCATCTATAACCATCCAGCAGCATCCCAATGCCTTATGTGATGCTATGCCGAGACAGCCGCACAACCGCTTATTCCTACTAGCGCAATGTACTTCTGTTCACTCAATCGCGTTATATCCAATTTGCATCTGCGTAAAAAAAAAAATGCGTTCCCAAATACATTCATCATGTTTTGATTTAAAGCTTTCGTGACTGCAGTAATTCATATTCTTAGCTCTCTCGGTAAAGTCACCTGATGATGACCGTTTGTGTTATGGTCGAAACGTCGTGAGAATTTTGATTGTTTTATATATATTTTATTATTTTATTGTTTCCCTTCAACGTGACTTTACCGAAAGAGCTAAGAATTTTTCGATTTAAAGCTTTCGTGACTGCAATGATTCATCTTCTTTGGTTCTTTCGGTAAAGTCACGTAGAATGAGAATAAAATAATAAATTGATAAAATAAAATAACACAATAATATTCTCACGACGTTTCCCCCCCCCCCCCCCTTCACCTGATGAAGGCCGCTTGTGTTGTGGCCGAAACGTCGTGAGAATATTATTGTGTTATTTTATTTTATCAATTTATTATTTTATTCTCATTCTACGTGACTTTACCGAAAGAACCAAAGAAGAGCTAAGAATATTCATCATTTTGATTTAAAGCTTTCGTGACTGCAGTAATTCATATTCTTAGTTTTTTTCGGTAAAGTCACGTTGAAGAGAAACAACAAAATAACAAAATATATATAATAATGTTATTTTGTTTTTTCTCTTCAACGTGACTTTACCGAAAAAACTAAGAATATAATATTCATCATGTTATTTATCTCATTTCTGTTATTAAAACAACACGCGTTATAAAAGAACGGACTGTATGTATGTTGAACTTCTTGGACGATAGGGAACGCGCCAGAAGAGGGATCCTGAGTTTGAGGTCAGGAGTCATATTTGTTATAAATCCAAGCTCTTAGGTGCAAAAAAAAAACACTCGTGTGGAATTTATTTTCACTTATTCCAGTGAAGCATGGGTTACCTGGAAAAAGAGATGAATCCATTCACAAATAAGAAATTGATAGATGAAAACTGTGAATAATAATAGAGTATATTTAGTAATTGCACCCTTCTTATAACGCACAGCTATCACCAAGGCAGTAGTTTCACATGACATATGGAATGATGTTGCTGTGTAATCGCAATTGAGTAAGATGCACGTTAATTTTGTTAAAATCTGTACCGTTTCGCCAGCACACAATGGCCTACTCTACTTCAAATGACATAACAGGAGAGTTAACCTCCACTGTGAAGTAAAGCGCATTATATTTTACGGTTAATTCCCACTGCAGTAATAACCAAGGTCGCTAGTTAGATTTGAACTAATAACCTCTGCAAGAAGTGGCGAAAAGTAACAAAAAAGAGGCATAAAATTACATTTATAAATCGGAATGGCTTTTCTCATCAATTTAACACAAAAAATTAGAGATGTGTTTGGGACAGGCATTCCAACTATACTCCTCACCTAAAATATACACCACCTATTTCACTTTTCACAATACAAAAATAAGAACATAAATATTAAAACGATTGAATAAATACAAAATTATTATCCTTTTCAGGGAACTCTCCAAAAGATCCTGCTGCAAGTTGGATTGCTGCCACTGCAGGGACACCGTGACGCTGTTGTGGATGGGAGACGACGCTGTTGTGGATGGGTGACGACGCTGTTGTGGATGGGTGACGACGCTGTCGTGGATGGGTGGCGACGCAGCCTTCCCTGGTGGCTTCTCGTTTCATGATCCCACGGTGCGTGGGGCCGGAATGAAATTTTGTTCACGTGGAAAATCCGATTTCGTCCATCGAAAAGTGTCCACAATTTGTCGACTGCGCGAGTGCAAAATTCCGTAAAACCGAACGCTCGTAAAATCGAGGGACGACCCCCACATACGAAGTCTCAACATACGAACGAAGCTCTCAGGGAGGGGAGAACAACTTCGCGTAGCCCAGCCACCATAACTGTGAACTCTCGTTAAAAGAGTCACGAAAAAAATCCGTGCTTTACCGGCGCCGTCGTGGAAGCTGTGGTCCCCGCGCGCCGACAATGGAGAGAAGGGACGCAGCAGCTCGTGGGGACGCGGGTCGGAGGGCCCCCTCCGTGAGCCCAGCAGCTCCTCCATCTCGGCCATGTAGGGGAACGTGGGCAGCCCCTCAGGGCTCCCCAACGCCCTCGCCTTGGCCGCCAGGAACTTCTCCTTGAGCTTCTTCCACTTCTCGCGCACCTGTGGGATGGTGCGGTAGATACCGCGCGCCGACAGCAGCTGCCGCACCTGGCCTCGCCCCCAAAACAAACGAAAAAACAATGACACGGAACGCATCATCATCATCCGCCGCGTGAGGGGTTGTAATGCACGTTGAACGCTAAAAAGAATTGATATCTTCACGAGCGGCGCATTTCGTGTGGGCAGTGGGGTGGCACGTGCCAGTGGTTGATGCTTGAGCCTCACAGCAACAAGGCCCCGGGTTTGATTCCCAACACCTTTTCTGTGTGGAGTTTGTACGTTCTCCTCATGTTCTGCGTGGAATTTCTCCGGGTTCCTCCGGTTTCCTCCATAGCTAACGTTAACGTACAATGTGAACTTTATTGGCCAAGCATCCTGATGCCGAAATTTAACCTGCGGGATCACACACAGAGTAGCAGCATCGCCCCCTGATGCTAAAATCTGGCAGGACCCTCCTGAAAAAGAGTCCTGAGGTGTTGTACGTTTTTAAGTTGAGCTTCTTTCACACCATATGTAGCTAACCGTGCGGGGGAAGGACAAACTAAACTCAAAAAGCAGTTCTAGAAAAATGTGTTTTCAATCTAGATGATTTAAAAGTGAATAGCTCCAGTGGCTTCCTAATAACGGAAGAGCGTTCCAGACGGCCGCAGAAGAGCATCTGAAAGCGCAACAATGCAGTGACTTTGTTCATGGCCAGCCAAAACCCGAACTTAAGAAGTTACTTTTATTTTGATGTTGTTGTTGAACATTCCCAACCCCCCCACCCCTCCGCTTGCCTGCTCGAAGATGGCGAAGTTTCGCTGCCTCTTCTTGTCCAGTTCCGCCACGAAGCCGAGGTCGGAGATGATCGCGATGATGGCTCTCGACTCGTCGGCCGACCAGTACACGGGCTGTCGGTATCGAGTGCGCGGCTTCTTCTTGGTGGCCATACTCGGATCGCGATGGGATTCCTGAAACCCCCCCCCCCACGGCCACAAGTTGTGCGCGCCACGCGGTTTAAACACCGTTCGTCATCCGTGGAGGAGCATCTCCATTCGGAGCCTTGATTTAGACTGGACGAATCCGATGAGCTATGGAGCTCTATTGCACAGGGTGTCCCAGCAGGGGCTGGCTCAGAAAGTTACAATGCATAAAAAAACACGCCGAGAGAAGTGCAAAGAATAAATTTAATTAAAAAAATCTATCAAGAATATAAGTACAAATTGCAGAAGCACATAAATTGCTGCCGATTTTTCAACACCAAATGCCAGCTTGGACAAAGCAGCAAAACAACCAAAACAGTCCCAGATCACACCAAGACAACTCTGCGGCAACAATGCAAAGTGCAAGTTTTAATTAAAGTCATCAGTAGTCGCGACCATGTTCTATCCACTGCTGGGACGCCAAGGCTGGTGCTATGACAGCAGCTGTCAGCGGTTGCGGCTACATTCCCCACTGTGGATAGGCGCGCCTCGCACGCCATTGGTCCACTCGAGTCCACTCGCTCGGACTCGCTCGCCTCCCATTGGCTAAGGGCGCGCGCGAGCGGTGGCTGCAGCGCCTCGGCCAATAGCGATGCGCGATTCCGCCGGCCGCGCCGAAAGACTGTAGGGAATCTAATTCGGTGCACACTCACCCACTCACACGATCACCCACCCGCCCACACACACTCACCTACTCACCCACCCACTCACTAGGCCTGCTCACCCCCCCGCTCACTCGCACGCGCCGGCCCGCGCGAGCCTCACCTGCCGGCAGCAGAGCGCCCGCCGCTCCCCGCGTCGCGGCGTCCCGCCTCAAGGCGTCCGATGTCTAGTCAAGAGCTGGCAACGAGCGGCGCGATCGGGCCTCATCATGTCGCCCTCGGCAATTGTCTCTCGGCGCCCGGCGCGCGGGGGGGTCTCTCCACTGTCGCCTTCGAAACAGCCGCTCCTGCCGCCGCCGCCGCTGCCTCCGTGGGCGCAACGCGGCCCAGGCGACCTAGGCAGGCCGTGACGTCACGGCGCGCCAGCTTTGGCGCCGCCATCTTGCTCGGGGAGGAGGGAGGCGGTGACGTCACAGCCCCCTAGCAAGATGGCGGCGTGGCCTCGCATCTGGTTCACATCGCGAGTTTCGCCCGGTTGGACGTCTTCTACAAAAACAAGAGCTTCGTAGTTCATCGGATTCCTCCGGGATATAAACATATAAAGATTCTGACTCGTCTATGAGGGGGCAAGCCCCCGAGTTAGCGATTCCATCGCTAAGTCCATTGTCACGATTTTGGGGCATCGATTCTATTCGTATAATAGGCGGTCCCCGCGTTTACGACGTCACGGTGTTCCTGGAAACCGTGCCGTCGTAAATCGAACCATATATTCCCATCGTAGAAACATCACTTGCCGATGCGTGTTTTTTTTACTTTTATGGGCCATATTCAGCAGGGGTTAATATGTAAATACCTACAAAAAACGCTGAATAACAAAAGCTCGGTGCCAAGTTCACATCGGAAACCAGACTGCCTTTTCAAATGCGTTCGGAGTCGTGTCGGAAGGTGTGTCGTAAGTCGATCCTGTTGGCATTTAACGTCGGAAATGTGGACCGTCGTAAACCAGAGACCACCTGTTCAGTTTCTTTAAGCTCACGACGCTGGAATACGGTGTAGTACCGATTTATTTTAAACTGCCAATGAGAGTTAATTTACTTGATAACCCACTCATTTCAAATGGGTAACATAATTCACTGTCAGTTGGCCACCTGAAGAAATGTACTGGCAAGCTAAATATTTGGTCTGGGCTCATATAACGTTTTATCTTTTTTACAATGTGACCGACGTCGGCGCTCTTTTGCACCCAATACTTTGTGTTGATGCACGACCTTGCCATTTCGAAACTTGGCCACGTGGAGTTTTTAATTGTTTTCATGTTTTTGTTGTTGCTTTAATCAGGTGTCTATGATGTAACCAGGTCCCCATCGAAATGCGTTTCACCTGTGCAAAAATAAACTTAAGGCCAAATGCACAGGGAGTATTGTGGCCTCGATGCTGCTATGTGGGTGAGAGCCCACAGAGGGCGTGTGTATATTTTCCCTTTTGGAGCCTCTCCCCAGCCATGACAACGTTATCATCGTCATCATCATTACCTTCCCAGCGATAGTAAATGAGGCGTGGATCCGGCACAGACACTTTTCCACGTGGGCTGGAGGAAAAAAAAAACATGTCAGCTTGCTCCGCAAAGCCCCTGATCTGTTGTAATTGCTGTAGTGGAGGCTGCTGAAGGGGAGCTTCCGATAATAAAAGTCCCGGGTGCAATCTCTGAGAGTAGAGTGGGTTTTATTTGTATTATTAAAATCTAAAGCTCCTATACACTTAGGATGGACATGGGCTCACCACGTGGAGCCGAAGGGCTTGACTGTGCTGTAAGCAGCAGTATATAAAACGTACGGTGATCAGGAAGCAATAGGTGGAATTACGTTTTCTGCACCATAATCTGTAAACCCCTACACACGATGCTGACCGAGGTAACAGCAGTCGCAAATCATGATGATTGGCATTCTCCACCCTGCGAGATGGATCGCATTGCTTATGGAAGGTTTTGTGGCGGTGCTGATTCGCTCTGCTTTCAATTGTTCAAAAGGCAGGGATATTTAAACCGCTGTACTCGTTTTAGTTCTATATTTTTCACCAGCTGGGAGATCATGGGTCGTCTATTTTACAAGGCAGACCTGGCTGTAATAACAGTAGGCATGTAAGGACAGTTGTAATCATTTGGCATTATTTGTGGAATACATTTTCTGATGTACACAACAAAGTTTCTAATAGTGGCCATATTTGCACACAATGTACAGGCGGTCCCCGCTTTTACGACAACGTGTTCCTGGGCACTGTCGTAAATCTGGTCCGCAGACAGTAGAAACATCACTTGTTGATGTTTTTCTTAATTTTATCAGCCACATTTAACAGGGTTTAATAGAACATCCACACAAACACTTGAGAAGAACAAAATCGTCACGCCAAGTCACATCGGAAACCATATGACTATTCAAATGTGTTCGGAGTCATGTCGGAAAATGCGTTATAAATAAAGTTTCTGCGTCGTAACATATATAGTGGCATTTGTTCGTTATAAATTGGGCAGTTGTAAACCGGAGACCGCCTGTAATTAAAAAAAAATGCCAAAAGTTAAAATCAAACGTTGGCAGAATGTACACCTATTATGCTTCCATTGGTATAGCCATGAAAATACTTATGGAACCGTGTCGTCACAAATCCTTCAATGTGGGATCCCGAGAAGAGAACCCTGCCAACCCATGAGTGAACAGGGAATGGCTCTGACCCATGCCTCATTGGTTTACATTGGCCAGAAACCTGGGGATTCATTCACGACTTCTTGAGCTTTTGCGATAAGTCTACTAATCGAAATAAATAACTCAAATTTCATTTAACTCTTTTTTAATGATCAATCATTCGGACGCCTTTAATATTGCGTAGCCCCGAATGTTGCCGCCCGACAGTGGACAACCCCATACAATACGCACACTTAATGGTCAGGCCCTGCCTATCACCATCCGTCCAGTGGCACATGTGGGAATAGACAGAAGACCTGTTTGTTCAATAAATGGTATGTTATACAATTGGTGGGGTAATAGTTCACTTAAAGAATGATCAGAGAGCCCATCTCTAGTTATTTCCTTGGGGTGATGTGATTTACTTTGTAGAAATATTGCATTTCCTTTACACGAGTAGCCTCTACCACTAGATGCCTGTACCAACTGGACTGTACCAACTAAGCCTGAGTGCAAGTAGGGCGGCAGATGTGAGCATTGACGAATACATTTTCATTTAAAGCTTTCGTGACTGCAGTAATTCATATTCTTAGCTCTTTCGGTTAAGTCACGTTGAAGGGAAGCAATAAAATAATAAAATATATATAAAACAATAAAAATTATCACGACATTTCGACCATAACACAAACGGTCGTCATCAGGTGTGAAAAGCAACGGCAAGAAACATTTGAAAGAAAGGTGAGAGACTCGATCAGCTGAGCCTTCCTAATTAATCGCAGTAACAGTTCTATTTCCGATGGTCTGAAATCCGTTTTAGCTAAAGGTCTAAACTTTGCAGTCACACCTAAACACATACCAGTTAATGATATAATTGCCCAAGTAGACGTTGCTCTTAGGGGCCTGGGTCACATCGCTGCAGACGTAGCAAGATCTGAAATCGCTGCAACCCTCAAAAACGCTAAGATGCCAGCTAGCAACCTCAGCAAAGATGAGCGTTTTGAATTATATAAATTAAAAAAGAGGGATGACATTGTCGTCCTCTCAGCTGACAAGGGCAATGCTACTGTCATCATAGATAAAATAGACTATAACAACAAAATTAAAGAATTACTCGACGATGGTAGCTATACAATAATAAAAAGAGATCCCACCAACAGCCTCGTCACACAAACCAACAAAATAATTTCTGATTCAACCGCATTAATTGATCAATCTAAACAGTTTTCGTTGAAACCTTCTGCTGCCAGGCCACCAAGATTATACGGCTTACCAAAAATACATAAAGTAGATACACCCCTTCATCCCATCGTCTCTACTATCAACTCCCCCACCTACAAACTGGCTCGTTTTTTGTCTGAAATCCTGCGTCCTATCACTGGAAAAACCACCTCTGCGGTACAAAATTCTACTCACCTGGTATCGACAATCAAGGGTATTTCCCTGTCCCCAGACGACCTGCTTGTCAGTTTTGATGTAGTTTCCTTATTCACCAAGGTTCCAGTACCTGACACCATCGCAATGATTGAAGACTTGGTTCATCAAGGACTAAACACTGAGGTACCCTCCCTGGTGAGACACTGTTTAACCAATACATACTTCACTTGGAATAGAACTTGCTACAAGCAAACTGAGAGCACCCCAATGGGCGCCCCCCTACCGAGGTGTTGGTCCTACCGTGTTTAAGGTCTGCTTTGTGTTCACGAATGCGGTCCGAGACATGGCGTTTGGTTTCTCCAATGTAACTACTACCACAGAGGCAACTTAGTTTGTAGACACCAGGGTACTGTATCTCCGGAATCACATCTTTTACAGAAGGAACCAGATCACGGATTTTATGTAATGTGTTGAAACGGACCTGGATCTTGTGTTTATTCAAGATTTTGGAGATCTTTTTTGTGATCCCCGCAATGTAGGGTAAAGTGATGGTTTTGAAAGGCTCCTCAAGAGGGTCCTTCTTCATGGTTTGAGTGATTAGCTTTGCGGATTGTATAGTCGGAGTAACCATTAGCCTTAAGAGCTTGGTGTACGTGCTTGAGTTCACTGCCTATGTGTTCCTGGTCGGACATGCATTGGGCTCTATGGTACAGTGTCTTGATGAGAAAATTCTTCTGTGATGGATGGTGGTGGGAATCCGGTTTGGATAAGCATCCGTATGGGTAGCTTTCCTGTAGACAGAGTGGCTCATTGAACCATCAGGTCTCTTTTTTATTAGGACATCCAAAAAGGGTAGCTTGCCATCTTTTTCGACTTCCATGGTAAATCTGATGGCTGGGTGTATGGAATTGATGTGGTCGAAGAATTGGTCTAGAGCAGGCCGGCCATGTGGCCAGATGACAAAAGTGTCATCCACGTACCTCTTCCATAAGGTTGGGCGCAGAGTGGTAGTCTGGATGGCGTCAGTCTCAAATTTCTCCATGAAAATGTTAGCTATAACCGGAGATAGGGGGGCGCCCATTGGGGTGCCCTCAGTTTGCTTGTAGCAAGTTCCATTCCAAGTGAAGTATGTATTGGTTAAACAGTGTCTCACCAGGGAGGGTACCTCAGTGTTTAGTCCTTGATGAACTAAGTCTTCAATCATTGCGATGGTGTCAGGTACTGGAACCTTGGTGAATAAGGAAACTACATCAAAACTGACAAGCAGGTCGTCTGGGGACAGGGAAATACCCTTGATTGTCGATACCAGGTGAGTAGAATTTTGTACCGCAGAGGTGGTTTTTCCAGTGATAGGACGCAGGATTTCAGACAAAAAACGAGCCAGTTTGTAGGTGGGGGAGTTGATAGTAGAGACGATGGGATGAAGGGGTGTATCTACTTTATGTATTTTTGGTAAGCCGTATAATCTTGGTGGCCTGGCAGCAGAAGGTTTCAACGAAAACTGTTTAGATTGATCAATTAATGCGGTTGAATCAGAAATTATTTTGTTGGTTTGTGTGACGAGGCTGTTGGTGGGATCTCTTTTTATTATTGTATAGCTACCATCGTCGAGTAATTCTTTAATTTTGTTGTTATAGTCTATTTTATCTATGATGACAGTAGCATTGCCCTTGTCAGCTGAGAGGACGACAATGTCAT